GTCTGTATATCATAATGAGATTTCTTCAATGTTATAAAAAATTGATTTATCAATAATAGCTTAATGTTAAAGAAGAATCAGGTTTAATAATAATGCTTTTTTCCAAAATTACTGAAACCAATATTAGTAATTAAGCTCTAAAAATGGCTTTGAGATCAGATACACTTAATATGCCTTTAAATTGTAGGAACTTATTTGCACAAAATTTTCATGTTTGTTACTATAACATAAAACTGAATATTGTATATTATGTTAGGTGTGCGCCTATATATTGATTTCTCAACTGATAGTAATACTTTCATAGACAATTTAATGATAATATGCTAGTTCTGCAGCGCTTGATTCACGTCTGGGGGTTAATTAACAAAAGTAAAATAAATATTAGTCAGTCACAATATTAATACAATTAATATAGTAGATATAGAATATGGTAACATTTTATAATGTTATAGCCTCTATTACAATATTTACTTGTAAAATAACCATTAGAATTTTTTCTAGATAACAGAGATACTGCATAAATCTTAATATAGTATATTTTAATAGCATGGCTAGGTAAATACTAGTGAGTTTATTAAATCGCTGATATAATCTGAAAAATAATTAATTTTAAAGTTGATGTATAGAAATAACATCTTTTAAATACACATTAACTTTTTTCAACCTAATAAATATTCATTTAAAATATCTTGATATTTACTGTAAGCTAATTCTTTGATATAGCTTTCCAGTTAATAGTATCATAGTCTTCAATAACTTTCATTCGGTGATAAATACTATGGGAATACTCATATTCGTAAAGCTTAGCATTTACCGCTGCTAGTTCATCCACTATTTCATCTCGCTTTAGCTTATCTTCTTTACTATTAGATTGTATCCAGCTATATGTTGAATCTTCAAACCTTTTGAATATCTCTTCCCTTTTATCTTCCAACTGATTACAAATACCATCTTTAGGAGTGGGAAAAGCTTCAGTATCTTCAGGTGGGAAATATTTATATTTAAATTGATCTAATCCTCCTAAATCAGAGGGAAGGTGCTTATTATCAATATAATCTTTAAGCTGGTCCTTGTGAGTGAAGATAATCTTTTTTTTAATATTAGGATCTAAGAATGTACATATTACATTCCAAACACCTACTAACGTTAATAAAAATTAAATGGCTATATTAAATAAACTTACTGTTAAAAATCCATGGAGCATCATGAATCAGCACTCGATTTAACAATTCAGGATAATGGTCAGACATCATTTTTGACATCATCCGTAAGTAGTTCATATCCTATTTGATATCAATATGTTGTGTAAAATTTGTACAAAAATCATCTTACCATATTAGCTAGAGTGAGACCGTTCATATCAAATACAACTGTAACATTTGAGTGCTCTCCAAGCATGAGGTAACAATTATTCATGAGATTAAGGATAGCTTTCCTATTTTCATCAGCAGTATACTTTGATGGATAACCCCTACATGCCCAGATATATAAGATTAAACGACCATCATTGCAGCGTTCATAGTATAGGGCTTCACTTTGCTTGAGATGGTTAATGTCCAAACTTCTTTCTCCTTCTACTCGAACTTGGGTATGTATTTCCTCTCCAAAAAAGTCCAAAGAATTAATAAACATTTTATAAGAATCCATCGCCTTCCAATTTCTGGCAGCCAAATATTTGATAGCTTTTACATCAGGATGGTCGCTCCTGATGAGTTTAGTCAAACTGGTTCTGAGTTCTTTGCCACTCTTTGCAGACACTTTTATATCATTAGGGTCTTCTGAAGATCCAACTACAATTTCTTTAAGCTTCCACATGGAAAATGAACCAGTTCTGGAAAGATCTTCTTTCTGTTTTACTGCCCTATCGTTTAGTCTATCTAATACCAGTGCCCAAAATTCTTTAAGTGTGATAGACTGCTCATCTTTCAAATCTAAATATGAACCATAAGTCCTAGCTTTAACGTTATTATAGGAATCCATGTTAATAAAAAGAGATAAAAATTAAATTTGCTAATGAATAGAAATATAAAATGAATCGAACTCTTTTTATACATCTCTTTATGATGAGATCACTATGAAACAAATTTTAGTAGTATTAATTTGAAACTTACATATATTAGCCAAAAATTAATCAAACTTTGAAATTAAGGCTATTTTGATTACATAATTCCCTGTAATAATAAATATATTAATGCACCACAGCTAGATACAATAGTAAATTTTTAGCCAATAAGAGTAAAAATTAATCTAACATTTATAGGGAATTGTATGTATGATATAATTACATTCTCAGATTTAACGGTTTATTTATATAAAAATGAGGATTAAAGTCTTTTATTTCCACGAATATATAGAAAAGATTTATTATAGCTATTAGTTCTTAAACCAAAATATTTAACCATCATCCAATATTAATGATTATCAGCTAGCACCTTTATTTAAATATAACCAACTGTTTTTTAGTTATAGGTTTTACTCAGTTTTTAATATTTTTAATTAGAGACATCTTTAGAGCTTGTTAATATATAAACTTTTAAAAGGATGTAGCATTCCCTGTAGCTTGCTATATTAAATTATTAATTTGTTTATAATATCATAATACCTATCCTAAAGATATACAAAAATCAAGTATTTTAAAAAGTAGATAAATTGTATAAAATTATAGGCCAGCTGCAATATATTGTTTTAAAATTGGCTTGGTTTCTAGATAACCAATCATCAAAAGCTTCATAAAGTATAAGCATGTTATGTATATCCAATTTTGAGACTGTACCTATGCGCTTGATGTATAAATCATGATATTTACTTAAACGATTCGCAATTTGCACTATTAAAATGTTAACTAGTAAATGTTTATTTATACTGCAAAGTAGTTTGACAGAATGCGGTGTATATTGGCATTAACGTTTGAGAATTCCACATTATTATACCTTCAAATTCTTTACACATTTCAGTCTTGCATCTAAAATGTATATTTAATAATATATGCGCTTATAAGAACATCTTATAAAGTATTTTACTTTAATCACAAGTTAAAATCTCGTATAAAAAATATGTCGAAATTATAATTTTGAACTATCATGCAAATCAATTAAATAAAACTGAAATTTTACAGTATACTTTAGGCTTAATGAGATATACGCTTTTCCAGTCTATTTTTTCAAATCATGAGATAATAAATTATTGATTATTATAAAATATAGAGCTGATTTATTCAAAATTAAATATTAAAGTAGTATATTCAATTTTTCATCTTAAATCAATCATTTGTATATATTATATCATAAATACTCATTTATAGTACACTAGATTTTTCTAGAGTATACCAAAACTAACCTAACTCTCAGATTTTTTTATTATCTATCGCAAGTTGAAAAGCTAATCTATAATAAACCTGATAAAGTCCAAAATATTAATTCTTCATTAAAATAAATACAGTATAATACATTAATGACTATTGATATCCAGTAAATAAACTTATCCTTTTTATATAATCACCACAATCAATATATTAAATAGAATGAAAAAAATTATAAAATATGATTATATATTCATCCAATTATTTGATACGTGACTTTGATATATCAATTTTATTTTGCTCATATAAATGCTTTTGCGCTATTTAAGAAATCTTCTAAATTAGTTGTATTTACTTGTCTTTTTAATATGGGTTGGATGAATTGTAGTATTTAAAATAAAAATTTCATTATCAGATCTATTGATATGTGTAAAAATTTAAAAACGTGCAAATAATATTTTCATTATTAATGACTTTGCTAAAGATAAATAAAAGTATAATAATCCTCAATTTTATCATTTAATTTATCCAAATATTATTATTTTTTAATTGTATTTACATAGCATATTTAGTAACATTAATAATTATTTATCCCATTAATTTATACAAATAAGTTTAGATATAAACTTACAAAAGTTTGATTATGAATTTTTAATATAAATTTAGAGTATAAAACATAATTTTTAAAACATAAAAATTGGATCAAAAATGAATCAAATAATATCAATATCGCTAGTATATATAGCATCAATTATAATTGCGCAATATATTTCAGTTAATCACTTTTTGATGCTAAAGTTGAATTATCTGATGGTTATAAGTGCTGTTATATATACTCTTTATTATTTAAATTTTATAGGATTCACTCAGCCCAACATCAAGTTTGCTCAAAGATTTCAATATGCTGCTAATATCATAATATACATTTACAAGCTGATATTAATTTCTTATCTAGTAGAGTATACTCATTGCTACTATGAGAAAAAACTTATGCTTGATACATTCATAAACTCAGGAGAGCTTGGTATAAAAAATTTAAAAGTATTCAGGTGGAGATGTTCAGGTGCATATAACGCAATTTCCGACTCTGATTTAAAATTGCTAATAAAAATATGGAAGGATGACTTCAATAGTTTTACGATTTTTAGTTACTTTTCAGGACTTATTGGGACTTTTACATATAGCTTTAGTTCTTCTGGTAAAGGTGATAATGATGAAGACTGGTCAGGGGATATTGTTAGCTGTAGGTCATCTCACAAAGATCAAATTTTGGATTATATTAAGAAGCATAACTGGTAACTCATTCATATTTTAGAGTTTTTTACTCTTATAATCAAATTTAGCAGCTTTTAATGTAATAGACTATAAATAAAAAATAAATGAATATTTAATTGTTTTGGTTAATACGAATTAACAAATAATACCAATTTAAACTGCAGATTCAATGATAATAGGTCAAAAGATGATATATTTCAACGAGTATAAAAAAGATATAATAATTGATATATTGTAATATAAATGAAAAATACAAGTGTTACATATTTGTATATAAAAATATAAAGTAATAATAAAATATCCATGAGGAGGTAATAAAAAATCAATATTATAAATTATAATAGTATAAAAATGGTTAAAATGGATACAAGATTGTAAAACATATTTCATTAATAAAATATATCTAATCCATTATAATAAATGATATGCTGTCGTTGTGTAGTGGTTATCACATCTGCTTTACACGCAGAAGGTCCTCGGTTCGATCCCGGGCGATAGCATTTTTTAATTTTATGAGAAAGTAGGATTTTAATAAGGTATTTACAAATATGATAGTGTTATTTTAATAATTTTAATACATTTAATTTTATAATATTTAACTTCTAATATGGTGGGATTTTGAGAGGATGAGCTTCGGTTTTAGTTACAAACTTATAATAATCTAGCAATAAATCATCTCTACATATTGATTAGAGACACTTCAAGGTTTCTGCTAGCCAAAAGCTCTCCATAGAATCTAGTTGATTTACTTTTCTATCAGTAATTTCGGTATTGTTGTATTCTGCAAAGCCTGACGGAGTTTTAGAATACTTGATGAATGCTTTGAATATCTTCTAAGCTTAGTCTCGATACATAGGATTCTTAGTATAGCGCCATGAATAGAATATTGACTCAAATGACTCTGATCTAAGAATAAATATTTTGCGCTCGGGAATAAATGGGCTTGATTCAAGTATAAAGACTGAATCTGGTGCCAATCGCGTCTTAGTTGAATTAATAAACTAGTTACCGGTTTCTGTGATCTTAGGCCCAAGATCCGAGCTTTCCTTAGCACTAAGAACAAAATCCTCATATTGAAGAAGCCCTTCCATAAATAAAGATAAATGGTCTACGATAGCTTCTTCTATTCCGTTTTTATCAGTCCTAACAAAGTATTTCAATCCATAATTTCTAGCCTTACCAGAGTTTTGAAACCGTCAGCAGTCTCTAAATACATAAGCTTTAATTTTTCATCTCTCATCTTAGTTAACATATAAGCTTTTATCAAATATTCCTAAAAATTATCACCTTCAGCTCCAAATCTAATTACCTTAGTATCAAAATTTTCAGTTTGTATATCTAGCATTATTGGGTAAATTCCAATGCTTGGCTTCATTAATTTATCCAATCTATAAACCACAGATATGATTAATTCTAGTTAACTTGGTTCAAATATTGTATGAGCTCAGTCCAAAATTTTAATTTTTTTATAGCTGAGCTTTCATTGTGTATATTAATTATTTAATAGACAATTGCTGATAACACCATATTAAAATACTAAATTATTAACTTTATCTAATAAAAGTTACTTTAAAATATGCTTTAAGCAACTAAAAATCAATAATATTGCAGATTTTCCTAGCTTTAGCTAGAATCTTTCATATATAAATATTCATTTATACTAAATTCAAAAAATTACTATAAGAGAAAAGATTTTAGATATTTTAAATTCATATAGTGTTAATGAGCTGATTTAACCCACATAGCATCGAAATAGAGCTTATTAATTTATCTAAAATATTGAGATTACATTGATAAATTTCCTTGAGTAAATCTATTTAAAAAAAGGAACAATTAGAATTATATTTTTTGTTAAAAATCTTATCAGTATTAAGCTATATCATTATTCTGACTTTCCCCATATTCTTACCATAAAGTAACTGATTAATGTGACTATAATATTTTATTATAATAATTCATTATAAAGTGTAGTTTTTTCTGTATAAAAATTGTAAAAACATTTGTTGTATATAAATCTCCATCTGACATGGACAAGATAAAATACATATGATATAAAAAGTATACATTGCCATGCTTTAATAATATAACTGTGACTACATAAAATTACTTTCTACTTTGGTACTTATTAATAGCATGATAAAAATCTATACTAAACTAATCGATTTATAAACCTTAAAATTATTGATTTTATCAATTTACACAGAATAATTATTTGCAGAATCTAAACAAAAACTAGAAATAAATTAAAACAATTTGAATTTAAATAAAATAAATTATTAAATTTATATTGTAAAATATAATTTTTTATATTATATTATATAACCTCTTTTTAGTAAATTTTAAATCTAATTAGTTATATTATATATTATTAATGAAGGAATTTAATTAGTTTAACTGTAATGCTCTATATTATCATTTTTTAATAATAAAATGAAATTTGTATCATTAATTAATTAAGTTTTATATTTAGTTATTTAAAGATGTTATTAGATTTTTATATTATATATCTGCAAGATACATTAATTACTATGTAAATATAAATGTGTTTTTATATAATTTGCAAAAAAAAGCGCTAATTTATTAGTCGATACATTATTGTTTTAAACCAATGATTTTTATTTAATTTACATAGATAAAGTAATAAAATTATACAGAATTTTATAGAAATATAGAAATATTATTGAGTATTTGGCTTTTTAATCTTGCTTCCAAAAACATGCTAGTGATAAGACACTGTCTAGACTATGTTTGATTAATTTAATTATATTTGTGAAATATTATAGTCATTAAATTATGCCATTATTTAATAACTGTGCTTATATATTTCCTAGTATCGATATTAAACATGTTTAGAAATTAAGTTCTATTTAAAAATAATTTTTATAGATATTGATATTAAATATAGACCTAGATTTTAGTTTAATTACAAGTATTGTTAAGTAATGTTATTTGGATATTTTCAAATTAGCACTACAAATAAACATTTCTTAATTAATACCTCGGACTCAAAATTAATTTTATTTATGCTTATTTCAATTTGCATATTTGGTGTATTAAATCATATTTCTAAATACCTTGTTTATTTTTAGCCAATATAAAAACCTCACTTAGCAATAGCGATTTTATCTTTGATTATATGATCTTTAAAATACATTCACGTTTACTAATCATGAAATTAATTTTTAATTATTTGAGGCCATCACGTACTAATTTATTTTTAATATTAAGTTAATTAATGTATTTTAATAAGAATCTTATGTGGCAAATTATACTAATACCTATGGGTACTCGATATTCATAAAAATTAATGATATTTTATTATAACTTAATATTCTTGTATAAATAGTTTAAGGTACCTAAGGTATTAAATACTTACTTTCTTAATTATAGCGTATAAGATTAAACTGTACCTACCTCTATCATATAGTAGTATAAATATCTTATTAAGTTATTCATAAAATTTATTTTAAATTTTAATTATTATATATGTAATAAAATAATACAATTAAATAAATTGTAAAATTGAACGTTAAGCTAATAATTAATAATTAATATTATAATAAAAACTTAATAATATAGTAGGTTATAATCTATTCATAAAA